AAAAAAAAGAAATTAAATTAATAATGTAGAATACAATTTGTGATAGTCAACCATTCTTTTGTCAGTTACTTTTTAACTCATTATTAATAAATATTTATATAATTATCCTAACTTTTGTGTTATTTAAATAGAATAAGGATAAAAAAGCTTTTTCTGTAGGAGTATGAAAGTTATTAGCGAAAATATATTTTCTACCCCAAACTTCTAACCCTTGTAAGTTCTTACAATAGTACTACCTAATGTGTAAAAAAATCATCGTGGTAAATTGCACCAACATCGGCAAACAATTTTCGCAAAAAAGAATAATTTTTGGGGTGGTTAGGGTAGTTAACCCCAGCCACCCCTTAATGTCGTATAGGGTTTATTTTACTGCGTACATTTTAATTTACATCTAATTAATGGTTTTCTTCAAAATATTATTCAAACGTGTAACAGTTTATCACATTTTATCTCATATGAAAAATTGGCTACAAAATGTCTATTTCCCAAACACCGGACCCAAATCATTACTATTACTGGATAATATCGCCCTATAAGGACACATAATATCGCCAAAATCGACAGGGTAGTTTTTAAAATATTCCAAAAAGCTAGGGGTAGTTTACCCCCTGAAGCCCTCAGATATATGTGTGATATATCAATGGAAAGCTCTTTGAAAATGAATAACAGTTTACATTTACCACATTTCGATAGCTATTGTCGTTTTCAACCTATTAGCGAATATACCTATTTTGCCCCGATTTCCAACCCTTATAACTCGCCCCAGGGGCTTTATTAGCACCTATAAAAAAATGCGTAAACCTTATTTTTGGCCATACTATCGCTGTACCAAATTTCAACAAAATCGGTGAGGGACAGTTCTGATACTTCCCTTGTTAGTGAATTAAGTTTACCTGAAAAAGGATATTTGAGGTACCAGTGCATTTTATTATTCTTGGAAAACTATCGGTTTTAGAACAAAGGATCTTCGCATACAGGTTTGTCCCATCTTTTTTTACCTACTTGAACAATATTAAAATAAATACATTTCTCGTGGACAAATGAAAAGGTTTTTTCCCGTAATGTTAAGAAAAAAGTGAGCATCATCAAAACCCGCACTGTACTGTAAAGGAAGGTTTCGTGGAGAGTAAGATTGCTAAAGTTATTCATTCGAGTTCTATATTCAGCGTTAAACAGTTATTCACAAATTGTACATATCTTGTAATATAGTTTAATTGTATACTTGATTATAAAATGAGTAAAAGACAACGCATTTTTAAGTGTGAAAACGACCCCCTTAATTTCTGTTATGTGTGTGGTGAATATGTCGTCAAGAAAAACATGCGTAAATTTACTAATTCGGTACAAGAAAATTATCTCCAATATTTTAGAATAGCAGCTGAAAATCTTCAAGAACAATCGACACCAAGTTTTTGTCTTAATTGCCATATAAATCTAAGTGGATGGGCTTCCGACGCGCCAGGGTATGTATTTCATGTTAAAAATACTTTATAGTTTATAACTTTTTTTAACGTTAGGTGGTACATGAAATTTTTCGTACCAATGATTTGGAAAGAACCACTTTGTCATATAACCGACTGCTACTTTTGCCTAAGTAAACAAACCGGAATTGGAAAAAATATGCGATGGGTTTATGCAAATGTACCATCTGTCACGTTTCCAGTTTCGCATTCAGATACACTTCCCATCCTCAACTGCCCTGATTTATCTCAGTCCCAAACTTCCTTCTTCAAATATTGTTGTTTCCTTTGTCTTTGGGACAGCCTCGAAAGGGAACACCATTATAAGAGGAAGCAATGGCCTGAAAGAAAAAGCCACACCCTGGGCAAGGGCAACATTAAATACATGCCTCTTATTAAAAAAGAAAATATCCTTCTACCACCATTACATATTAACCTTGGATTCTTCAAGCATTTAGTGAAAGCGCTGGATATAGAAGGCCAAGCGTTATACTTGTCAACGATTTTGAAAATGCCCTTTTCTCAGATAAATAAAATCTTTTTACACGCGACATCTCGTTCTACGCCAGATACGTGGACGACATTTTCATAATTTTTAAAGGTAATCCAGCAAAACTTCATGCGCTTACAACTAGTTTCAACAACATCTCAAATTTAGAATTCACCACAGAAAGTGAAAATGACTCCGGTATACTTAACTTTCTTGATTTACAACTTCAAAGAGACATTAATTTCAACAAGCTTTTGTTCAACATTTTCACTAAACCTACCAATACTGATATTATGATCCCAAAAGATTCTTTTAACTGTAGACAACATAAACATGCTGGGTTTTGATTTTTATTTAATCGGTTATACAACATTCCACTTAGTGACGAAAATCTGGTTACTGAAATGAGAAGAATTGCCAAAATGGGTCTAAACAATAAATATACTATCAAAGGTTTACAATACATTTACAATAATGTTCATAATATGCAAATAAATAGAAAAATTTATCCACACTTCAGAAGCAAACCTAAATTTATCGCGGTCCCCGTCCATCCTTCCCTAGAAAACAAACTCTCTCGAAACTTACATAAATTCAACATTATTCCAGCCTTCATTTCTAATAATAATAAACCTTTGCTACAATTATTTAATAACAAACATAAATTTAATACAGTTATTCCTGTCCTTAACGTGTAAAGGTGTCCTTCCTTCTGGTTGTGTTTCATTTATATGTTACATACACGTTTATATTAATTCCACTTATTGTTTAAATAAATTTAATAGTCTAGAACTGAGTGGTATTTACAACATTCATTGTCCGGAATGCGATTTGATGTACACCGGACAGACGGGTCGCAACATTAAACTTAGATTTAAAGAACACTCCTCCAAGAAAACTTCCGCAGTTTTCAAACACATAGAAGAATGTAAACATAAGATTTCCATAGATAATGTTAAAATAATTAAGAGGGTTTGTAAATCGCGTGAGATGGATTTATACGAGGAATACTATATTAGTGCTAATAACGTTTCTATATAATAATAATGGAATATCGTTGTGGAATTCGGTTGGACTATTTAACGTTTCGTCTTCTGCGCGGATGCTCTAAATACCTGATTGATCAGGATTATAAGGCGTATATTAAACGTGTGCAGGATGGTGTTGTATTGGACGCAAAGCAGTTATGGGCATATTTCAAACGCAGAAGAGGCGGCAAGGGTATCCCATCAACTGTAATTCTGGATGGGGTTGAGGCATCGAGCGGCGATGCCATCTGTTCGTTATTTGCGAATTATTTTAGTGCAGTTTTCGCAGCACCGTCTGCTCCGCATTATGATGCGGTGGGGACAGTTGATTCTCCGCGCTCATTCATGACTTTGGTCTCATTGAAGTGGAGCGGGCATTGCGTCAAGTAGCTTTGAATAAGGGTCCTGATGCTGACGGTATACCTGCTATACTGGTTAGAAACTGTGCTCAGGCAATATCAGTTCCTTTACAGCTGATATATAATAAATCCATTAAGCTGGGAGTGTTTCCGGATGCGTGGAAGCGAGCCAACGTTGCACCCATTTTTAAATCAGGTGATCGACACTTCGTTGTCAATTATCGTCCAATATCTNATTTTTTTCAAGCGAAAGAGATTTCTATTGAAGAGTTCTTTACGATGATATCGTAATTGACCCCTCTTTACACATAAAATATTAAAGTACTACTCAATTGCACCCACTTCCGGATGTTGTTGGTCGGTCGTAACACACTATCTAGAAGGAGGGTGTCTGCTTTAGTTGACGAATTTTTTATTTCAACTCTCTAGGACTCACCGTTTCCGAATAAATTGGCTGGTACGGGTGGTCTGGGACACCCTGTATAGTAGAATGTATAGTAGAAGGGAAAATTGTAAATATTAAAAAACAATAAAATGCTTATAATATTAATTTCATTTGGGTCCACATACCTGTGTGAAAGTGGATTTTTGTCCCTGTTACAAATAAAATCAAAATCCAGAAATAAACTTGAAATTGAGGATGATATGAGATTGGCCTTAACAACAACAAAACCAAGGATTTTAAAACTTGTTGGACAAATGCAGGCGCAATCATCGCACTGATTTACCTTAGGTTTTAGTTAATATCTACCTGTATCTCTAAAATTCTGTTTTGTTAAATAATAGGTAGAAAATATACTACCTATGTACTTTTTTACTTTATTTTATTTCTATACTTTACTATTTTTTTTTGATCTAATAATTCTAATATGAACCTAATATAAGGAAGTCGTGAACATTTTGTGTCAAGCCTGGAAATAGGTTGGGAACTGCTGTTATAGATGTTGTTTTTGTAGCGGCAAATGTGGAAGTTTTGTAGTACAAAAATCAGCTATGTGTTCTTAAATTATAACTCTAACAAATGTTTGACAGCGATGAAATGGTACGAGAAAGCCCTTTGGATAAGGACGATTTGATCGAATTTATTGCCAGATAATACTATGTTAGCAAAACTGATTTTCTGGGACACCAATCTTTTAACGTCAATACATTTATCTATATCATACTCTATACATTTATCTTTAAAAATAAACGAGAAGTGAGCTACTTTCGGTTAAAATGCCAACTTTAATTTTTCAATATTCTTAATATTCATTAAAATTCTTTAAGACTGTTAAATTAAAAGAAAAAAGTTATCTCTTATATAGAAAAAGATAAAACTACAGACGTAGCTTGGGAATTGGGAATTCCTATAAGCGTAAAAAGAAGGAAAGTGGGTATTCCCATTCATTAATAAATCATTAATAAAATAAAAAATAACTTACATAATAAGAAAATAACCAAAATTTTTAACTTGTTATCACCAAAAACGCTCTCAAACTTATTATCCATATTAATAACAATAATATCACGAATGAAAAACTACAAAAAAGTATCACCACACTAAAATAAGTAACACTTCACAAAATCAAAGTAATCACAAAAATTTTAATATTTCGCGAAAACTTTTGTATTTGGCACGTTCGCTTCGTCGCGAAAACCAGTTGCTGACTTGACACAAAACATAACAAGAACTGGTTATCGTCTTCTTCAATCGGTTGGTGTTTTAGTGTAAAAACCGACGAAGCAAAGCAACTACTAAAAGATAAACAACAATAAAACTCGATCGGCGATGCCAGTCCGCCGCTACGACGAAGGTTGCTCAAGGTCTTCAACCAGTAGAAACGAACGAAAACGGTATAATCGGAGGAGATTACCGGACGACTTCGTTCTCGGAATTCGAGTTGGGTCAGTAAAAGGTCGCTGATACTGATAAAATCCCCGGAGTTTTGAAATTTTATTGTGTTAAACTAATACTTATACGTCATTTGGTTAAAAAAATGTTTTTGAGATAAAATTAATTATCTTAAGTAGAAAAAGGTTATGTTAAAAAGATTATTTGGTTGAAATATTAATTAGTACTTTTTTTTGGGTAAAAGTTAAAATCAATTAAATGTCATTGACACCAAAAAGATTTTAGTACTCTTTTGATAATTATCGTAGTCAGTTTCTAGGCCTTTAGTTGTATATCTTTTAAATACTTCTTCTTTCTGGCTGATTTAAGTACTGTTTACTATCTAAGACGTTATCTATTATCTAAAATTGGCTATATTTAGCTTATTTGCAAAAATAAAATCGCTATATTTTATACCAATTTTTGTTGAAATAGTTTCGGTTATAACGAATGTTTACCTCTTTTTGAGAAAACTCTAGAATGTGATTCTAGTTGTCAACTTATACACGGTTTGATTAAGCTATTCTTTAAAAGATGGCGATTGTTTGCGTTTGATGAATGTGTAAAAATCGATGAATAAATCACTTTCGAAGATTCCCCATTTCCCAACATTCTACTATCCAATTTCGATAAACAATATCTCATTCGATACCTTTTTGACCAACTTTACTCATCAACATCGTTAATTACAAAACAATGATTTTTAACAAAAAGCAAAAGAACAACATTTAATAGTCTTAAACACATTCTATAAATTGCCACCAAGGAGAGTATACGCACGGAAATCGCCAGTGGATAAACCAGGAAATATCATCAGAAACCAAATCGATTACATATTAAACGATTGAAGATACAAAAACGCTTTCATATCGGTTATAAGTTATAATTTATCCATGTACATCAACATCAGTGAGAATCTAACTGATGTAAATAAACGGTATTAATACTTATTCCAATCGGTTCAGTAGTTTTAAAACAATGGCCCATAATATGTGAAAAAGGGATTTTTTTAGACAAAATGTGAACCAAAAATTCATTCAATATCCGTGGAGAGTCGCAGAAAACTCGTTTGCTCTTTTTACAAGACAACAAGGTACGCAGGATGAGAATCGGTGGAGAAATTATCAAAAATTATGATCTTCTATATGTGAGAGCACAGCTTTTTCTTGAATAATAGCGATAATTTTTAATAACTATCGATAGTGTACGCTCCTGTATCTATTAAATAATACATCCTCCTAGCTACTCGCTTTTGCCTTTATTACGAAGGTACCAACCCTAGCTCCTTCTAATTTAAATATAATAATCAAATGTACTTACCGCCTTTTTTATATTCCGGGTGGGAAGATATTCGGGTTGACAATCAAAGGCCGTACCACCGATAACTTTTTATGATCTTTATTGTTCCTACCTTACACTCCCGCTTATAATTCACAACTACTCTTATCAGGCAATCATGTATTCTTCCGGGCGCTCCCCGCCATCGGGCAGGTCGTCGTTCCCTTGCGACGCTGATGTCGCAATATATCTAATTCCCAGCGATTGCCTTACAATAATTCCCTCGATATAATTAACTTATCTTGGTATTAAAACTTTTCGTGGCAATATAATGAAAAACCGAATATTAATGTTACCCACTGTATTTACAACGTGGTATTTTTCAGAGTCAAGTTCACAGACACAAACTTCTCAGATGTCGTTATCTGAGGATGACCGTGACTCTGATGAGTGTCGTCCTCGTATATACAACAATGATGGTACTACAGGTAGTACTGATCATGACAGTAAACCAAAAAATAAGAGAAGAACATATTCCATTACAAAAACTACAGCACAAAACTAGTAGAAATACAAGTAATCTAAATGACCATTTGAAAAGATTTCATCCAATGCTGGGTAGTAATGAAAATTCACAGTTTATGACTTCTGGTGATGCCAGTACCAGTACAGCTACAGTTAGTGCTACTACTTCTTCGTCTTCTTCTGCTCGTTCAAGTGTGAGTTCTATCAGCCACTTTTTTAAACGAAGAGTATGTATATTATAACGAATCTTCCCAAAGGAAGAAACAATTAGACCGAGCTGTTCTGAAGATGACTACTTCAGATTTTCAACCCTTCACTATTGTTAGGGATGTGGGTTTTAAAAAGCTAGTCACCCGATTAGATCCTAGATATAAACTGCCAACTCCATACATGCTAAACAATATTCTTGAAGAAGAATACTTATCTGAATGCACAAAGTTAAAAACAGAATTAAGTAAAGTTGATTTTATTGGAACTACCAGTGATTCATGGACATCCATAGCAACAGAATCAAATTTAACCGTTACATGCCACTATATGGATGAAAATTTAAAGTTGAAAACAAGAGTTTTGCCAACAAAACCATTAAGAAACGGTTTAGACCACACATCGGAAAATCTTGCAGAGACATTAACCACTTAAGGCATTTTCTGAGCAAAAATCATCGACTTTTTTAGGTATAATTAAGTACAAGAGCGCCCGTGTCAGACGCGGACACGTGAAAATCTGGTGGTGTCAGTCGCTCGTGTCATACACGGGCGCATGCCTTAAGTGGTTAAGAAATGTATTTGGAGAATGGCAAATAAGCCATAAAGTAACCTACATAGGTACTGATAACTGCAGCCAACATGTTAAAAATGTGTGCACTACTAAAAATAAAACATTTACCTTGTTACGCAGACACCCATAATTTAGTAGCGCAGAAGAACTTGAAATTAGTCCAGGACATTTTAAAAAAAGTGAAAGACATAGCTAGTAGCATTTTTTAAAAGTAGCCCATTAGCAATGGATATCTTCAAAAAAGAACCTTTGAAACTTATTCAAGAGGTTCGGACACGTTGGAACAGCTAATTTTTAAAGGTGCAAAGGTACTACCAACATCTCGGAAGGCTCCTCCGCCCCTAACAATTGATGATCTGATAATTTTGGGTGACATAAAAAAAATGTTAAGTTGTTTTGACGAGAAAAATTTCAGGTATTGTTTCAAATAAACAAAATATATGTACATTTACATAATTTATTAATTGTTACAGGAAATAGCTATGTAATTGTGTCATCAATAATTCCAATAACATTTGGTATACAAAATTGTTTAAAACAATCTTTGCCAGTATTAGCAATGGAAGATGGGAAAACATTTTGTAAAAACCTATCTGAATCTGTTGGTAAAAGATTGGCTCTTTATGAACTGCGATCGGTATGCAGATTCGCAACAATTTTGAACCCACGTTTTAAAAAAGAAGAGTTCCAGGGTGCTGAGAATGCCTCAGTAGCGGCTGCACTTTTTGAGAGTGAAATGTGCAATCTTTCTCTAAGGGATGGAAAAAACTCTACATCTCAACTTCTAAACGATATCCAATCCAACAGTGTGAGTATCAGCATTTCCAATCCAGTCCATACCTGTTTGGATTTTTACATCAAAGGTTGGACGAAAAAATTAAGTCGGTAACAACAGATTTAATGATCACTAAACGACAGTATTTAGAACGGCATAATGCCCCAGATAATACCGATTCCCTTGAATTTTGGAAGGTAATGATGAAATAATAGTCGTTAAATAACCTATTCATTTATTTGTTGTGTTATAGATAATACGGAACGAGTTACACCCTTTGCCGTGAACGCCAGGAACGCCAAGTTTTTTGGCGTTCCTGCTTCTTTAGTGGACAGCGAACGAATTTCTAGTTCTACGGGGTTATTAATATCCGAACGGCGCTCTAGGTTGAAAACGGACAAAATTAATAAGATTGTATTTTCAAATAAAAATGTATAATAATAAAATAACCACTTTACTTTTATTTTTTAAATCAATATGTTTTTAATATATTTATTATTTTTCTTTGACTATCGAAAACTATCTATAATTATCGATAGTAAACTGATCATATATCGAAAATTAATGATAGTACCAACTATCGATAATTTTAGACCTCTAGTGTACCGGAAGTAGCCTACAACTTCGTTATTTTAAACGGAATGCTGCAATTTTTATTGGATATTTGAATTGAAAAACAGCTTTTTTTAATCAAAAATCACATTACAAAATTCACTCAAACGCCTTGGAGAGCCACAAAAATTCCGTCTTATTTTTTATACAGCGTGTCCCGTATCTTCCGCATTAGAACATTATACGATTGTACGATACATTATTCTGAAGCGATCTTTCTAATAAAATTTTTTCGAAATGTTTATAATAACCGCACGGGAACTGTTTAAACGAACTGTTTTTCGTCCAATCAGCAGATCGCAAATCAGCCTCAGGTAGTCGGTGCCTCCTTCGGCCGGTCCGCTACGCCGATGATAACTCGTTTCCCACGTGTACTCACCAATAGATTCGTCACGGAAAGAGAAATAAACTTTTTCGGTGAATCAAAGTCGTCCGTTATTGGTCGTTGTTAAACAGTTCCCGTGCGGTTATTATAAACATTTCGAAAAAAATTTATTAGAAAGATCGCTTCAGAATAATGTATTCTACAACCGTATAATGCTCTGATGCGGAAGATACGGGACACGCTGTATA